AACACATTAATAACACAGGAATAACAAAGAATTAACACAGTAATAACAGAAATAACACAGAAATAACACAGAAATCACATTAATAACAGAAATAACTCAGGAATAACACATTAAGAACACAGGGTTAACACAGAAATAACACAGGAATAACTCAGTAATAGCAGAAATAACAGGAATAACACAATAATAACAGAAATAACACTGGAAATACACAGGAATGATTCAGTAATAATACAGGACTAACACAGTAATAACACAGGAATAACTCAGTAATAACAGGAATAACTCAGGAATAACACAGGAATAACACATTAATAACCCAGTAATAACAGAAATAACACAGGATTAACACAGTAATAACACATTAATAACACAGCAATAACACAGGAATAACACAGTAATAACACAGTAATAATTTTTTTTGCTATTGCAGCAATTAAAGAAAGATCCATCCGTGCTAGGTCCGGGTCGCTAAAGACCCGAATAGCCTATAATGAATAAAAAAAATGCACATGCAATTAACAGTGGAGATCTGACAAAAACAGGTCTCAGAGAGGTGTTTATTACAAATAAAAATAAAAATGAAAGCACATCGAGTTGGTAGAGTGCGAGGGTCGTGGCTGGATGTGGATCCGTCACTCATCAAGCACTCATGGTGCACCTCGGTGTCGGACAAACAGAAGAAGTGAGGAATATTTAACAGCAGCGGTCACAGTGATGATGAGGCGAGCACCAGTGAAGTTCCTCATGCCCGCTCCATGTCCAAGTCAAGTCTTGAGTCATTGCTGTCAAAGTCTAAGTCGAGTCTCAAGTCTTCTATAATTATTTCGAGTCGAGTCGCAAGTCATCAAATTTGGGACTCGAGTCCAAGTCAAGTCTCGAGTTCACACCCCTGGATATAACCTCACAACTACGAGATATAAACTTGCAACTCTAAGAAGAATAGTCTTATTGTAAGTTTAACAAAACATCTGAATTGTCATATTTAAAAATATATATTATATTTTATTATTATTATTATTATGTGGTGGAAATAAACTTCTATAGTTTATAATGAAATAAAGTGTATAATATTCGGCTCATCATGTGATCTCAATATGTCGGCCTCCATGAGGCGACTCACTTCAGTGTAAAATAAAACAGCTTTTATTAGGCTGCTGAGATAAATCAAGATCAAAATTCATATTGATTTTTAGGTGTAAAGCTGTTTAAAAGAAGAAAAACTGAGAGCACCATTAAATAATACAGTCCTAAATTAGTTATTAATTAAGTTATTAAAATTAATTAAAATGGCTCATTCTAACACGCCCCCACATGTCTACATCACAATGTGGGAAGATTTGCATAACACCGCCCAAATGTTCACGCAAAAAAAGAAGGCGTAACTTTTATTCTTGCTGTAGTATTGTTGTTGTCGCCGCCGCCATGTCGTGAAGGCGCTGTGTGTTTCATTGTGAAAGCGAAACTACTTTGTTTGGCCTTCCAAAAGAGGACGTTATCCGCTTCCTCATGCCTGGAGCTGATCCATGCTGGTCGCTGAGGAAATACATCAACTTTGCGCTGTGGATCGCCGGATCGGCTTTCACCGTGGACGAAGTGGAGTCCAACCCGGAGTCGTCACATGTGGTTGCCGCAAGCCCGCCGGACACTCCTTCGTCGAATCTGCCGGCCACGCCGTTTTCAAGCCCGCCTGCCTCTGCTCACTCAAGCCAGCCTCTGCTCACTCAAGGCCGCAGTGTGTGACGCTGTTTCGTTGTAAAAGCGAAACTACTTTGTTTGGCCTTCCAAAAGAGGACACAACTAGAAATCAGTGGTTAAGCTGTATTTACAACACTGTTCCAGAACAGTTTAACCCAACAGTCGCTGTGGCCGCCTTCTAATTAGCACAGCCAATAGTCTATAGCAGGGCAATTCCTCCAATCGAAACTACAGTTCGCACTTAAACGCAGGAAGGGAGCAATTAAATTACACGCGCTCCTTCTTAGCCGAGGGCAATTATTATAATTACCAGAAAGTGCAATCAAAAATACAAACGCAAACAAAAATATAATGTAGAAATATGCAGAAAACGAAATATTCCTTCCTAGCAACAAGTAATAATTCCAACAGCAGATCTATAACCAAGTATTACGCAGGACACTCACGTGCAGCCGTCTGTCTCTTCTGTTGACTAATCGCTTGATCGCTTGGATTTTATGGAGGACTGTTTCCTGATCCTGGGAGAGTAGACTACAATGGCGGCTGTTCTGACTCACAGACTGTAAGTACGTTTTTTGTATT